GGGGTAACAGGAGGAGGAAATAGAGTATTAGCTTGTCAAGAAGGCCTCAACAGTTTGCTCAGTGTGGGGTGAGTAATGGACCGTCTATTTCTTTAAGCTTTACCTTCCTTTAAAGCGCATTTTTTATTAACCGAGGATATTAAGAGCTGCTGTTGGGACACAGGGCGACAGGCTGGGCAGCCCAGAGGCAGCACAGGTGGGAGAGGGACCGAGCTATTCCTGACGGGAAGAGCTAGATGAGCAGGGACCGAGCAGGACATCCGAGACCCGGATTCAACATGCAATTGGGTTATTTCTAAAATTAAGACAAATGAGTTGAAAAATGCTTTTAAATCGCCCTGAAGAGTTTGGAGCGGGTTTGGCTGTGGATGCACGCCTTGTCCCAAGCTATGGAGCGGTACCCAGCCTCAGGCTTCGAGGCAGCACATTGTGGGGCGCTGGCGTACACCCTACTTGCATTTCTCCGTGGGAAGCTGTTGGCCGGACCTTGCCTTGCCTGCTGGGCTGAGGAAAGCCAGCGTGCGAGCACCGAGCAGAAAGGGCCTGGGTGAGCACGGGGGGATCGTTAAGGTATGGATGTGAAAGCTGCATGGGAATAACCAGCTCAGCCTTTTGTACCCCAAGACTCCTCCAGCTGTAGGTGTAAGAAACACCCAAACAGCAAAACATTGTTGGGATCCTTGGGTAAATTTAAGCTAAAATTAGAGATGCTTCAGAAGCTATTCAAAGAATAGAATATTCAAATAAGAATGAATAAAAGCACATAGGTGAGCGCTGCCTAATCTTTCAGCAAGTGCCATATTTCGGGGGTCTGGAAGCCCACGTCCCAGGTGGGCTCAGCTTTGGGAGCAGCGTCCTGGCTGTGGGTTCCCAGGCACCTTCCCTGCCCAGAGCAAGAGCTGGCCGCTCTCCTTCCAAAGGAAGCTCCTGCAGTGAAAAGACAGCACTAGTGATGAGCTTTGAGAACACCCCAGCTAGGACAAGGACAACAGAAAGAATTACGGAGCAGATTTTAATGCAGACTCAAAAGCACAGAAATATTATACACGTAAATGGGGTTTACTTGTTCCCATTTTTTTTTCTTCATTAGACTCAACAACTTCCTAATTGCTCGAGACAGAACGAAACTAATGAAGTTTTGGTGGGTTTGTCTGACACGGAAGAACATTTAACCTGAATTTTCAGAGTCTAAACTTCTTTTTTCTTCCCTCCTTCCTACATTAACATGATTTAGTAAAACACGAGAAAACTCCACACCAGACACAGCCACAGCAGCTCCCAGGCTGAGCCCCCCCGGGGAAGGGGAACCCTCCGAGCATCATTCACGGGATGTACATGGGGATGATGAGCCTCTTCACTGCTGCTGGGGCAAGGGGAAAGGAGAGGGGGACGGAGCTTTCGCTCGAGGGGAGGAAGGAAGAGGAGCAGTTGTGGGTAGCTATTGCTCAGCTTTCTCTTTAACTGATGCAGAGGCAAAGGCCCAAATACACTCGATACGACCAAAGTCCAGTAAAAAACCGCACCGGTGGCTTGCAACTGCGCAGAGAAGTCAGCAGGAGGGAGGAGGTTTCATGTCTACGCCCTACGTGCACATGTCGATGGTGCTGAAACGGAGGAGCTCCTCCTTCAGCCAGGGCACTGCCTTGTTTGGGCCACAAAACCCCCAGAGGCGGAGGCAGAATTCGTGCCTGAAGCAAACTGGTACCAGAGCTTAACAATTAATTAACACCGAAGCGTAACAATCAATCACTACACTTGTACTTGCAATGAAGGAACCAAGTCACAGCTTGGCAATGCACGGACCCAGGGCTGCAGGCGGTAAAGCTGTGGGAGGACAAGCGAGGATGAACAAGCAAAGGGCAAAGTGTTACACAGCATCTGAACCAAGAGCTGCGGAGACACGGAGCAACCGGGAGGTCAGAGAAAGCAGCACTGGGTAGCTGTATTCTTCAGGGACTGGGTGTGCTCAGACCTGCAGGGACTTTGCCAGATGTTCCATTGAAAAAAAAAAAAACCAACCCAAAACAAACAAAAAAAAACCCCAACAAAAACCCCACCACAAACCCTTACAACACTGCAAGGTTTTTACTGCTCCAGACCTCTCTGTGCACACAGAAAAGGCAGCCCCCACTAAGAAATACAATGCAGCTGCTGGAAGAGTAAGTCACACCACAGCACCATGATACTTGGATCTACAAAAAAAGAAAATGGCAGAAGAAATGCACACTAAAAAGAAGTTTACTGCAGAAATAGCACCTATCACTCTTCCTGTGTTTTCATTACTCTCTTTAGGTTGGCTAAAGAGCTATAGCAGCATGCGCAAAAGAATCAGTTTGAATAACAGAAGGATTTTATTTTAATCAGGAAAGAAATTCTCCCAGATGAAGCACTGGAAGCATCATTACTTGGTAGGGAGGCCGACTTCATGAGGCTGCGTTAATTGTTTGAAGTTCTGTTCTAAGCATCCCCCGGGTCAGCACCACCTGATAGAGGAGCACGAACCGCGCGGCGTGTTTTACACAGCCAACACATGCGGGTTCACGGACAACAAATTTCTCCAGGAACACCACTTGTATCCATTGCATGAGAACTCCAGAATCAGTGTCCGATACCTCGCATTTGTTTAATCTTAGAAATAATTAGTTTTCACTCAAATCCTGTCTTTTTCCTTGGTTTCATCAGGACAGAGGACCCCAGAGCGGATGGGGCGGTCACAGGCTGGCAGAGCTGCCCCCAACCCGCCCAGCCAGCCCGAGAAGGCACGGCCGCAGCACAGGCACGCGAACGAGAGCTACGATGAGAAATGCGAGCGGCGGCACGAGACGCGGGAGAACCTGCGACGGCGAAACAACATGACGACCTGCCGCCGCTCCGGGAGGGGAGCGGAGGAGCCGTCGCAGAGCCCCCGGCAAAGGGAGTTCCTGAGGAGGAGAAACCTGGCGAGCGATGCTGGAAGCACACCGCTGGGCCAGGAGCCCAAAACACGCGTCCCCCCGGACCCCTCCTCACGGGTGGAGCCCAGATCGCCCGTCCTGCTCCAGGTAATGCCAGCCCCCACGCCCGGAGCGCAGCGCGATGCTCTGCCCTCTCCAGCTAGCACCCTGTAAAGCACCCACAGCCTGTCCACCAACTGCAACAGCATCGGGATCCAAATCAAAAGTACAGCCAAAAAGGGAGAATGCACAAAAATGCGCATTTCCTTGTGAAGTGCAGAATCAGGTACAGGTAAACGCTGTCACCTCCCTCCCGCCATGCTCCTCTCCTGTTTCCCAAACCCTGAACTAGATGAAGATTTTCTGCCATTCCTCCAAGTACAACCCCACATCCTAGCTGCCAGATTACAGTTTTGCACTTACACAAATTATTTTTACCCTTGAAAACTCAGCTTTAAACACCTGGCTTTCCTCCATCACCTTCACTGTTAGCAGGAAGGGTGCAGGAATTAGGAGGCTCCCTGGTACTCATTACCCGCCCTGTGCTGCACAGCTAACAGCAACCCAGAGGAGTCACTGCCTTGAGTAACATCTATAGAAAGAAAACACCTATAGAAACATAGATTTACATATAGTAACATCTATAGAAAGAAAACATCTATAGAAAGAAAACACCTCAATCTGAGTGCCAAATAGATGTCTTTCTAAACTTACATCCCGTGCAAAATGAACAATTCCCCGGTGCGTTGCAAGTTCATCCTAGGGGCTTCACAAACCTGCGCGAGCAGAGACAGTCGAACGCGAGGTGACTTACAAACAGGCACGCCCTCAAGATCCCTTTGCAGCGCCAGAGCGTGCAGAGCAATTACCGACCTCCCGCTGCCATTTCGTTCACTGGCTTTAATC